TGATTATTATATATAGAATGTATAGCCAATGTTTTCATTTTTTAAATCATTCTAAAGGAGGGTCACAAACCAATTAAACACTTTAAAAACATTTACAGGGTTAAAAAATGAGTAATTTAATCACCTCTACAGCACAGCGGAGAACTGAAGTCCAGAGCAAACAAACTAAAGACACTATTTTTAAACTGTAAAACCAAAGCAACAGATAAAAAGTAAGGTTTGTTTTGTAAATATGTTACATTAATGTTACATGTTTAGGTTCATTTTACACTTTTTAAAAAGGAATACCATGCCACAGGCTTTAGGAGTATGGAAGAGTTGTAAACTTTCTAAATGAATACATCTCAGTAAGGTTCGTCATATGTTTACTGCAAAGTAGATCCCGTTTAACTCAGTGGACATTATTCCTACTACAAGTAACCTAATGTAAATATTTATACTGGTTGGTGAAAGTTCCAGTGAGGTAACATGTGGTTGGGTTTCAGCAGTGATGAATTCTTTTTTGAGAGGGGGGGTGGTGCCAGTGCTCCTTAAAGAGGCATTGGTCTGCCTTCTCCTTAAGAAGCCATCGCTGGACCCAACCATTCTGGACAATTTTTGTCCAGTATCCAATCTTCCCTTTTTAGGGAAGATTGTTGAGAAGGTGGTCGAGCAACAGCTTCAGAGGGTCTTGGATGAAGCGGATTAACTGGACCCATTTCAGTCGGGTTTCAGGCCTGGGTATGGGATGGAAACAGCATTGGTCAGTTTTTGATGACTTTTGGAGAGAATGGGATACAGATAGTTGTCCATCCTTGCTCTTCTTGACCTCTCAGCAGCCTTCAGTACCATTGACTATGGTATCCTTCTGGACTGGCTGAGGGAGTTGGGAATGGGCAGCACTAAACTGAGCTGGTTCTCTTCCTTCCTCAGTGGCTGGTTTCAGTTGGTGTTGATTGAGGGTGAGAGGTCCTGTCCTTGCCCCCTGAATTGTGGGGTGCTGCAGGGTTCGGTACTCTCTCTGCTCCTCTTTAACATCTACATGAAGCTGCTAGGAGAGGTCATCTGTAGCTGTGGGGTGAGGTATCATCAGTTATATATCTCCGCCTTTGGTGAAGTAAGCGATGCCACCAATGTCCTGTCTTGGTGTCCGGAGGCTGTAGGGGTTTGGATGTGGAACAACAGGCTTTGGCTCAATCCTGGCAAGACTGAGTGGTTTTGGGTTTGGGGGCCACCTGGATCTAGGAATTTACCATATTTGGTTCTGGATGGGATTGCAGTTCCCCAGACAGAACCAGTACACAATCTGGTGTCCTTCTTGACTCATGACTCCTGCTTGAAGAGCAGGTGGCAGTTGTGGCTAGGTGGGCCTTTGAACAGCTTCGAGTTGTGCACCATTTGCACCCATACCTGGATCAGGAGACTCTATGCTCAGTCACTCATGCCCTGGTCACCACCTGTATGGATTACTGTAATGCACTCTACATAGGGCTGCCCTTGAAGATTATTTGGAAGATTCAGTTGGTGCAAAATGTAGCAGTGTGGACAGTTATGTGCACACCTACATCTGCACATGTTATACCCTTGCTCTGCAAGCTGCATTGGTTACCAATTTGCTTCCAGGTCCAATTCAAGGTGCTGGTGATAACCTATAAAGTCCTACATGGCATGGGGCTGGGTTATTTGAGGGACTGCCTCTCCCCAGTGACATCTACCCATCCCATCAGGTCCAGCAGAAGAGGCTTGTTGTGGGTTCTGTCCACTAGAGAGTGTCATCTGACAGGACCCAGGAGGAGGGCCTTTGCTGCTGCTGCACCCACCCTATGGAACATCATTCCCCTCAAGGTCAGGCTGGGTCTGACCTTGATGGCCTTCCAGAAAGGCCCGAAGACCTGGCTTTGCCATCTGTCCTGGGGATCAGAGAGTGGTGTGGAGCCCATAAACTGGTGTACTGTTTTTGATTGGCTGTGCTATCCCAGTGATTGTACTGTATGGCTTTTAATTGT